TTTGACTTGGAACCATTAAATGAGCACCATCGATATACTCAACGTACTCTCCCTTACGTTTATCAGCTGCTGACTGTGACAAGACTTGAGTGGTAAAAATATCGAATGAACAGGAGTCGTAGGAGGGTGAGTTTGGAGCCAAAGATGTTTGGGAGGCCCGAGTGTCATCTGTTGCTGAGGTGATAGCAATCAGATCCTCAGGCCATTCTCGCAAGGCGTCTTCGAAGGCATAGAGGAATAATGATTTTGCTCGAGGTGCCTTGTCAGGATAGTGGAGGTCGAAGAACCGTAGTCGGAATCGTGGGTTGAGAACCGTGGCCAATACAATCACATCTGATGCAGCCGCTTCAGCTTGATACTTCTCGAGTTTGGAGATCATCACTCAAAGCATGGCCTTGAGTTCCTCTTCTTCGCAGGCACTCTCAATTTTATCAAGGTCGTGGATGAGCCGGGTGTATTCAGAAAGTAGGACACACCCAGTCGGTGCATTACCTTCCATCCGTTTTGTTGCATACAGAAATACCTGAAAAAAATAGATTTAGTTATCCAAAAGCAGAACAAAGAAGAAACAGATAAGTGTGAATACCTGAAGTATTGAGACCAAAGTCTCAATCAAATCCCAATCCTCTGCACTGATATATATACCCTGGAAGTATCGGGTTTTTCGATCTGCAAGGAGGATTGCGTCTACAACCTAGAAAGAAAAAAGAATGGGGTTAGTATGGGATCTTGGACAAAGGACAGAAGGTGATGTACTTACATCACGAGCGTCACTCAAACGCTTGAGGTAGTCAACATCGATGTTCCATCGTATTCCCCATCCAGAGATGGGTGAGCGACCTTTGTAATCAAGCTGCTTTGCCTTGGCTTTGAATTCCAGGTGTCTTGCGGAGCTTTGAGTGCACAGTCCGTTAAACTTTTTGGCCTATGAGATATAATAAGTTAATCAGTCAATGTTTTATTGTAATTAAAATATAATGTTGATGAACCTTACCTTGCGAACAGCACGAGCCATATTAGAAAGAGGATGCTCTTCCTCACCATCAAAAGCACTATTGGAAAGGTTGTCATCAAAGGGAGTTCCTGACGCAGAACCTTCTAATGATTCGGTGTCATCTTCCTCTTCTTCAGAAGATTCGAAGTCGATATTCTCATCACCGTCGTTCAGAGTGACCGTGGGCATGGGTAACGTCACACCGGGTTGGGTTGTGGGCTTGATGTGCCCAGCACTCAGTCCGAGAGACTTCAACCCGGCTTTGACAACAAGCCCGATTTTGTGAGTGTAACACTTTACCTGGTTCCCTTTTGCATCCCAATCCACCGTGTCTTCAGCATCTCTGAACATGTCAGACAACTTGTGGGCCATTGTGTTGTTCGAACTGGCAGAATCAGTCGTCTGGGCCAACATGTAAGAAGGTAATTTATGTTAGTTCTTTCTGAAAACAATATAGAGATACCAAAGGATGGAGATTAAAGATTGAAGAAATGAAATACAGATAAGAGTGACTTATCTTTTTATGTAGACCATTTGATATTAAGAATTTTCCAACAGGCTGAGCCAGGAGTCGGCCAGCATGATGCCAAGAAACTAATTTGAGGGTAAGGTGCTGGGTGTGGAACTTCCAGTGATCGTCAATATAGGTGACCGAGACTCCGATAAATGCCTTCCGACCACCTTTAGTGGTCCAAACATCATAAACAAGACCAAACTTGCTATCGTTTGACTGGAAAAAGTATAAGTAAACAATTATAGAATTTCTATAAATCGGTCAAATCAAGAAAGAGATGTCATTAACATTACCTTGATCATTTTAATGACTGAAGACGACAGGTCCAAGTAAATCCCCTTGGCTGTCTCAGATGCCCATGTGGTACCTCTCAGAGTGGCTGACCAATTCAAGAGCTTGAATGCGGCCCGAAGAGGAGGATCGTTGAACCGAGAGAAAGGTAAGGCATGTCTGAGAATCCATATAACTAATACCGTGTTGAGGAGGTCCACGCTGAATGATGTTTGAGATAGGGATGAATCAAGGGTAGATTTTGAGTTGGTACTGGCGACTTGCACAATGTTGTCTTGAAGTTGCTTCCAGCTTCAAGGCAAATCGTGACCTTCTCGAATAGCAATGTGTCGTCTCGGGCATGCCGGGCGATCCTTCGCTCCATCTCTATGAGAATAGAGATTATAGTGGCTTCTCTTACCTCGGGTGAAATACTCATGACAATACTTGCATTTGAATCAACGAGGATCGTCGCCAGTCTAGATGATAGAGAGATATTCCCGATTTGTCAGTAAGTTACAGACCTCAAGGCAAGTTAAAAGTCTTTACCTCGCCTTTCACATGGATCAGGGCCTCGTAGTATTCCAAAAGCTTGGAAACCCTGCCAAGATGGGCACGTCGAGCAGCAGGTGACTCAATGACTTCGATTTCGGATTCTTGATCAACATCAACACCAGTAGGAACATCGTAATCCTGATGAGAGAATTATATTTTGATACATTAATATCAAAATGTAGATAGTAAGTTCATGGAATGACATACCTCAATAACAGTTCGCTTCTTCTTCTTACACGGTGCTGAACAAGGCTGAGAAGAGTTTGAAACGTTCCTGGAGACTGTACTTTTGCGTTTGCCTTGACGGTTACGGGTAACCGGTTTGGCAGCTTTCTTCTTCACCTTGCTGTTGCCAGAAACAGGTAGGTGAAAGGGTGCAGTCAAGGGTGTTACCGATTGGCCATCCTCAGATTCAGTTTTCTCAGATTCGGCTTCAGTGTCTTCAGCCAAATCTTCAGGTTTGTCTGCTGGTAATCGAATCGCACGTCGGGAGTCTGGTGACTGCATCACAAAGCCTGGTCGAGGTTGTACCGGGCTACAGACTCGAAGTGATCGAGATAATGAAGGTAAAGCAAGCAAAGACACAGAATCAAGCTGAAGGGTTGTTTGGGTGAAATTTCTGACATCGGCCGAAGTTGAACTTGGAGACATGATGAAATTGGAATCAAATAAGTGATAATAGTTATCGATTGGTAATGGAATTAGGGCTTCTGGGTGGAAAAGGGGTTTCTCAAAATGGAAAGGTTAATCCACACAGACAAAAAAATAGGATTGTGGTGGAGAGGAAGAATGAGACTCACTGTGAGGTCCTTTTAAAGATGGGGCCAGTAGTTCGCATGGCCTCTGAAACAGATACATCGTTTGAAGATGGTATCTAAAGGCGTGGAGGGATAGTCCAGAATTGGCGATGGATTGAGGTTGTGATGGGGGATTGTTGAAGGATAGTGCAACCAGAGAACTGGAGTGAGTTGCTATAGCATCCTTCAACAAAGCTAAGTCGAGTCGTTGATGTGTTGTTGAAGGTTGGGGATGGTGGTGTTTAAGACAAGTCGTAACGTTGAATGGAGCTGGGGCAAGCCTCATGGGACTCTCTCTGCGTGTCATGGGTTGCTATGAGGCGCTTTGGCGCTAAGCGCTCGTAGGCGCTGTGACACCTCATAGCATAGCGGATTTCCGCTATAGACTGCGGATCTGTAAACCGCTATGTGTGAGGGGGGTTTCACCATAGCTATAGCCCAGCAAAAAAACCGCTATGGGTTAAAACGGGTAGCGCGGGCGGAGCGCGCGCCCTGCTACCGCCCCGGCACCGCTATCTCGGGCGGAGCGCCGGTGGCGTTGCTTGCAGGATGATACTTTCTAATTAGGCAAGACACTGGAAGAGTACTTTCACATGTTGCTTAACTCAGTCCCAAATCATGTTCCATACCCAGTTTTGGATTTTGTCAGGGCCTGGCACTATCATGGGGGGCTGTTGTTCTCAAGCACCTAAATGAATTAAAGAAACACTCAATCGCGGCGATCACCCAATTAAGGTCAGGCCATATTCATCTAAACCATTACCTCTGCAAATTTGATCAACTAGGATCCCCAAGCTGTGAATGCCAAGAAGGCATCAAAACGGTGGAGCATTATCTTTTCACATGCAACACATACAACAAAGAAAGACAACAATTCGAAAAAGACATCAAACAACTCAACCTTCAGTTCAACACAACAATTATCAACAAACCTGTGGCCTTTAAAGCCATCGCCGCCTACTGCGACAGCACCTGGAGGTTTAAAAACCAATGGAGCTGGGCAAAAATTTCAAATGAAAACCCGCCAACATATAGGCAACCCCCTAGAGATTAATCTCGAATTCTTCATCATTTTTACCACATCCTTTAGCGCTTCCTTCCACATTACCGTATAAACATTGTATACTAGTTGAAACAGCCAACAGCAACCCTTTCCCCTGACACAGCCAGAGGGGTTTTACCGGTGCTGGAAAATATGCAGTGTTCAATAGCCTTACGGCTCCAATGACACTTTAAGCAATAAAAAAAAAAAAAAAAAAAACCAACGGGACCTTTGTTTGATAGCTCCAATGGCGTGACGAGACTGGCTCTTCCCGGATTAGTTAGGAGACTATGTCACACGGTGGTGACCGACTTTCTTTCAACATTTTTGACAGTGCGTTGATTCTCAGCCAGATTCCGGAATGATGAATTAGGTGTGGCGAAGGGCCGAGGCTCGAGGAAGATATAATATTACTTAGAGCATCTCCTATCGTTCGAGTAAATTTTCAGTAAATTTTCTGTACGTAGGTGTTTGGTACAGTATCAATCGGTACAGAACTGTCGAAATCCACTATCGTTGGAAAGAAAGTGCCTCGGTACAGTACCAAATGGTGAGAACAATGGTTTCCCCGCAGATACCGAATCGGTAGAGGTCCAGTAAATTTGCTGGACCTCTACAGAATTTTGACCGATTCGGTGGATACCGAATCGTGTTTTAGACACGATTGGGGAATTTAAGGGTCGGTACAGTAAAATTTACCGTACCGAAGCCCTTTACCGAGACGATAGGAGATGCTCTTATTAAGTCTAAGTAGATAGGTACTTAATATACTTAAGTGAAACCCTTTGACCGAAAATCGAGCAATCCAATCGAGGTCAACTGACCTCACAGTTTACTTATTCCTTTTCCAACTTCAACATTCACAGCCACGAACAAGAACAAACATAGGGAAGACGAATAACAAGATATGTCCTCTCCACCATCTCCCACTCACCATAATGAGTCTATTCCACTTGGTTCGTTTGCTTTGACGGAGCTATTTACCAATCCTTCTCATCTCCTAACTGACCCTTTTGGTTCAAACAGCTGGCACCGAGGTTCATGGTCTCAAGCGAAGTCGTGACACTAATCCACTTGGTCAAACTCCGGAGAGTCACCATGAACGTCGATCACCAAACCCCAGCGTCTCCCTTGAAGTAGGTTCTGATATAGAAAGCGAGGTAGATTTACCCTCACTGGTCGATTATCCTCTCATACATCTTTCCCGATCACCGGGTTTTATAATCTGGCTTGTTCATCATCACCCCTGATGATCGAATACGCTCTCGAAGTCGCACCATCCTGGATTTTTGGTATCGTCCCTGCAGTCGGGTAGTATCATCCTGATCGTGTTTTTCTTTTGCTTTACCTGATAGACGCCCAACCAAGTCGGGCATCCTCCCACACCACTGGCTAAAAAAGGGTCAGCTTTGTTCTCGTGTTATCAAAGCTTCAGTGTCTTCTTTTCCTTATAGTCGATTTAATTACTCAACAGACGCCGTTTCTCGAAGTGCTCGGATGTTGAACAGACCAGCCCACCTACGACCCGTCATCCTCAAGGTGTCTCTCACAGTCATACTTCCTCCAATGGTGGTAGCGACCATGACCACAGCAAATCGCGGGTGACCACTCCGGAAGCCACTGAGGTTAAATCTGTTCGAAAGAAAGTCGAAGGCATGGGCGTGGAGAACGATCAGGAACAGGCACATGAAGCACTAGAAGTGACTCCTCTCAATCCTGGCCAATCTGACAACGAGGCTTCGATTCTTACAGCGCCTGCGAAGTCTGATGCTCTGGTTCGAGTCATATTTCATCTTATCGCAACTCTACCGGCGATGCATAGGAAAGTGGGAGCTGATGTAAAACCTTGACATTCTTCAGCCTGCCTCTTGGGCGTCCTACAATCATTCTGAATCGCCATTCATGGTACATGCGCCAAAGTCCAACGTCTCGATTTTTTCCGCCTCAGATCCTGTTACCTCAGATCAAGCTTCAGATTCTACACCAGTTCCATCCTCAAATACCGGTCCTGCTCGTGCCTTTGCGGTCCCACACAGTAATACACACAAACCTTCCTCCTCTGCCTTGCATTCATCTTTCACTAGCGCCATCACTGGATCAAACTCGCTTGCTTCAGCTTCCCCTAATTTCCCCTGTGGCTCAGATTTTTTCCTCAAAGGTAAGCGCAACAACTGTTTAGCTAGCTCTCAGTCCGGGCTAGAGCCCGGGAATTCAGTTCAGAATAAGAAGGCCAAACTACCCGAGGCAAGTGGGGGTGACGGCTTTGCCGCCTATTCGAGTGGTCGACCTACTAGTCTCAAGCCAGCAGCACTGGACAAACTGAACAACAACGAAGCCTTGCAGATCCCCTCTCTTTCAGCCCCTCTTCTGAATGTCAAACCGATTTCTTCAGCTGCTAGCTCCGTGTGCGCAGTCAACGGAGACTCCGATAGTATTCGAAGCCCTCCCCTCTCAACTTCATCAGCGATCACATCATTTCCCCAATCTAGATCAAATCCTAGCCCACTTGGATTCTCCTCTTTTTCTCAATCTTCAGCTTTTGGTGTCTCGCCGCTAACGAATGGCAAAGCAAATTGGACATCGTCTACACCTTCGGTCTTCGATCAGCCTACTATCTCACCAAGTGACGGACAAAGTGAAGAAGGGGGAAATGGTCCCAAAAAGAAAACTCACTTAGCCCTTGCTGCCGATCTCGGGGGAGAAGACAAGCATGCTGGGTTTGGGGCCAAGGAACGTGAGTCTAATGGCCCTCTATCGGCTCAATGCGTTCGTGTTTGATGACCGTCGAATTTCTACTCCAAATTTTTCATGTTACTATGTCTCGTCTACGTCTCCATAGTCATCACGGGTGAGGAGAATGAGAATCTGGTCAAGAGTGTGAGATGTAAAGTCTTTACTTTGGAAGAGGATGGAACATGGCATGAACGCGGATCAGGTGGACTTCGATTACTTCGTAACAAATCAGAACCTTCGCGTTATCGATTGAGTACGTTGTTGATCCCCTTCTTGCCCCACTTGCAGTATCCATGTTTGATCATCTATACTTATGCCTGGACAATAATCGGATGATCAGTCATGAGAGCCGATGCCGTACACAGAGTACTCTTGAATGTCCCAATCTTCAAGGGTTTCAGCTACGTGGCGAGTCAAGAAAAGTTTCTATCGTTTGCTTCGACGGCCATCAACACCGATCCATCAATTTCTTCAGCGTCGAAGGATTCTGGTGACGGAGGACAAACTACGAATACTAGTAACAGCCAATTTCAAAAGTACCTTTGTAAAGTAAGTCACAGTTGATTGATAAATGAATCTTATTGAAGCTTCTAATTCAATTTCTTATTTTCATAGTTCAGTCGAACGGAAGCTCGTCAAGAGATGATTGATAGTATTCAACAATGCTTGACTGATTTGGCCTCAAGACCAGACCTTCCAACTAACACCCATCTATCTACATCAACAGATGAGGATTAGGATACGGAATCTGAACCTGATCAATAGCAATCTCTAACTAATGTTGTTTTGTTTCTCACTCACTTTGCTTCTTCTTCTTCATTGACGTGTATATGATAGTTGTCTTGTTCCTGTCCCGACGAAAAAAACGTTTTTGGCGGTGTCCTAAGTACCAAGTAGTTCTCCATCTTTCTAACTATACAACCCCTTCACTTTGAGATTTTTTACATAAAATAAAATGTGAAGCTCATAAATAAAAAACATTTGTGGTAAATCGGAAGTTGTATAAAGTTCAATTTTATGGGAATAAATGATCATCTACCACTACCATGAAATGTTGGACTTGGAACTTGGACATCTCAATGGATAGTGCGCTTCCGTGTTTTGGACATCAATCATACCAATGTCGCCTATGTTTGATATATTTGCTTGTGTAATAGTTTGAGACATCATGAATGATTGGAATTTGATCCTTGTATCACTATTGGCTATACAATTTTCTTGATTGTTTGCAAGGGAGCCTGCTTGAGAAAACCTCAACAGTGAATTTCACCTTGATTCTGATAATGGGACCAGATCAGTAAGTGAAGCGGATGTGCCTGTCTTGGAAGAGGGTCTTAGTTAAACTTATCTACAATGTTTTTTATTGCATTGCTTAGAGCATCTCCTATGATCTTGTTCAGTGGCCTCAGTCAACGTCTGAGCTTGTCTAAGGCAACCTGCCGCAAAAAAGCGGTGGCAAGGGACTGGCCCCATTGCCCCTACTGAAATTATTATGTAGCGGCTGCAAGCGTTCTGCCATTGCTGCCCGTGAAAAAAACTGCTTGCAGCAGGACTCAGATTGTCGGCGCGGCGTAGAAAGCACACCATTCACAGCCCCCAACTACTGGTCACTGGCAGGCCAGTACATCCAATGTCTCCAAAATGTTTTCAACAAAACTTCAATTTGTTTTCAGCATAACATCCATCTGCTATCAAGATGTTTTGGGTCAGTTACCAGCAAAATATGTCATACCACCAAAATTGAGATGATGACATACAGCATCATAAATCTGTACAAACCTGCTCCTGTATTTCCCCACCAAGAATATATAGTTTATTAACCTTTGTGACATAAAGTGACTGAGTTATTGAGGTTTGAAAAGAAAAATATAGACCAAAAATACTGTATTTGTACTATACCTAAGAATTGTTTCTGGAATATCTTCCGGCTTCATCAATACACATACACAAAAAATTGATATTCCTTTTGTAAATATGTTTCTCCACATTTTTGTCTCCTGAAGCCTTCCTGTATGGACAGTATTTCTATATGTAATTGTGGTGTGTACATGGGCAGTCAACATTTTGATTGATTCTTTGATTCTAGACAGAATATGGCAAATTTTATGGCAGAAATTTCTGTAAAATACCATTTACATGTATAGTGGGAACCATCAAGAGCCACTTAATTGGGCAATTTTTCAAAAAAGATTGCCGAAGTCACAAATATCACTCAATTCAAAAATCAAGATATTTTTGGGGTCCTCTTGTTCAGGGCTATTCAAAAATATCCTCAGAAGACCAATTTTCGAAGTTCTTGTTTTTTTTATTCCTGACGGTCAAGAGTGTACCAGAGGAAAATCAGATGTTTGTTGTATGTAATTACAAACTACCCGGTCTGTGGCTTCTTGTGTCTTGATGGTTCCCACTATATATCAATAAAATTCCAAATGATTTTGGCAATGGACATTACTATTTGGCAACCACCTTGTTTGACCCAATGCCCAGTTTTTGGATACTTGTTATTCAATGCCCTATTTGATTGAAATATAGCCCGGTTTGAATTTGAAATTGGGATTTGAGATTGCGCTGGCTGGCTCAGCAAACATGCTCACAGCCAATTTGTTCATTCAAATGTCTCATTTTCTCACTGGTCATCAAAAGCCAATTTTACCCTTACTCAAAGTGTCAAACTCAAACTCTCGGATCTGTTTATGACAGAGATCAATCACTTTAGCCTTTTGGATTTCATAACAACACATAAAACAGATTGATAGAAATAAAAAAATAAACAAGTGTTAGAGTATGTTATAAGTAAGAGGAAGTAAGCATACAAAAAGAGCAAGACATGAGCAACAAGCGTGAGAATTTGAGACTGAGAGAAAAGTTGCACAACACAAACAACAACAACCCATCAATCAACACACATGAGATGGTGATTGAGATCAAGAGAAACACCAACAACTGTGTATCATTTTTGCCGGTCAGAGGTGAATCCCTTGTTTGTCTAATGAACAGATTGATTGTGGATTGTTGATCAAAACTGAGAAGCTCCTTATTGTATTGAACAGATCACATGTTGCCAGGCTCTTAAACGGTTCATCCCAACGGAGATGGGATGAAGCTTGATGTTGATGTAAGTGGTAGAGAGGTGGTGGTAGCCCAGTTTTATATTTGATTGGAGGTGTTCTTAGCCCGGTTTCTCATGGTGAGAAGCCCTCTTTTGAATATGAAAGCTGTTTAGTTGTTTGATGCCCAGATTGGCTGCGGCTGCGGCCACATTTGGCGGAGACAGGTCCCGGTTGTGCAAGCAAAGCATGGATAAGTACCAAAGGCTGACCAGGCGTCGGGTTAATGAAAGCAGTTGCCAAATAGTGCTGTCCTTTGGCAATACATCCCCTCAAAATTTGTCTTGGGGCAAAGAACTTCAGAAAATCAAACTTGCAGATCCACATTCAGGAATCACATGTAGAGATACTGGACATGCAGGAAGGCTTTAGGGGGACAAAAATGTGGAGAAACATATTTTCAAAAGGAATATCAATTTTTTTGTGTATGTATATTGATGAAGCTGGAAGATATTCCATAATCAATTCTTAGGTATAGTACAAAAATAGTTTTTTTTCAAACCTCAATAACTCAGTCACTTTATGTCACAAAGGTTAATAAACTATATATTCTTGGTGGGGAAATGCAGGAGCAGGTTTGTACAGATTTATGATTCTGTATGACATCATCTCAATTTTGGTGGTATGACATATTTTGCTGGTAACTGACCCAAAACATCTTGATAGCAGATGGATGTTATGTGAAAACAAATTGAAGTTTTGTTGAAAACATTTTGGAGACATAGGAAACTTTCAATAGGTATAGCACTAGTACTTCCCAAGATATTCAAGTGCAAACAACACAGGAACCGCTCCGCACCACTCGGGATTTTGACCCTTTTTGTGTGCGGAGCGCAGATACCGCTCTCAACCGCTTCGCACCTATATCACTATTTTCATTATTTTTTGGCTCAAGGCATAGCGGAGCAAAAAAGCCGCTCCGCGCGCGCTATATAGTACACTATGCGCGGTGTGCGCTATATAGTGCGCAATGAGCGCTCAACTGGGGCCAGATACCGCTCTCAACCGCTTCGCACCTATATCACTATTTTCATTATTTTTTGGCTCAAGGCATAGCGGAGCAAAAAAGCCGCTCCGCGCGCGCTATATAGTACACTATGCGCGGTGTGCGCTATATAGTGCGCAATGAGCGCTCAACTGGGGCCAGATACCGCTCTCAACCGCTTCGCACCTATATCACTATTTTCATTATTTTTTGGCTCAAGGCATAGCGGAGCAAAAAAGCCGCTCCGCGCGCTATATAGTACACTATGCGCGGTGTGCGCTATATAGTGCGCAATGAGCCCTCAACTGGGGCCAGCGTGAAGAGAAAAGAAAATGCTTTCATTTCTTATTGTTTGTTGGCTTATAATGCTTTTTTTCCAATTAATAATGAAAATTCTTGATTGATTGATTTGATGATTGGATTTAATTTTTTGGTTTGGATTTCTTTGGATTGGATTACAATTGTAGAAAGTGAATTTGAAATTTCTTGATTGGTTGCAGAACATTTGGTAATCAAATTGGTTAATGATTCAATTAAATTCAAAATCATATTTGATGTTTCTATATTTGAATATTGTGAACCGTTAAAAAGATTAGATCCTAAACCCATATTAAAATGTTGTTCTTGATGAATCTAGTCGCACTCAAAGGAAAGAATATCATTGATTTGAAAAGTTCAACAAACAATAAAGAAAATGATCAAAACTCAACTCAATCAGAAATCCTAATCAAATGATCATTCAAGATTTCTCTAATATTCTTAGCAAAAGATCTAATCAACAATGGATCAAACCTAGCAGCATATAATTCATTAATCAAAATCAAATTTAATCTTTCAGTTTTTGAGCTATTCAATGCTTCAAGAATTTGATTTTTAGATCTTTCAAGATGAACTGATTCGAATCGTGAAATAGCTTGAAGCGTTAAAATTGTTTCAGGTGATTGTGTGCGGATTGTAAGATCTTGTGACTTGGTTTTGATGGAGGGAAATCAAACGGATTGAAAAATGCAATGAATCACAGGTCGGCCACAGTCGAAGATGTTGCCAGGGATGGTCCATTGTTTTGAAAAGAGGCTTAGCGCTTTTCGGATGGCAAATTGGTGGTCTGAAAGGTTTGCATGGATGCAGCAAAATAGTTTGATATGGTGAAGGCAAGAAACCTGTATCAATCTGTACCCTTCCCCCTGGGTACAGGGCTTTTGCTCCGCTATTTAGCGATGAGCGAATGGCCCCAAGCCCGAGCGGAGTGATTGCTCCGCTCTGGAATTTTCAAGCCCTGCCAAGCGGTCCGCAGGCTCTGCTATAATGGGGGGAGCGTAGAGCGGAGCAAAACCTGCTATAACACCGCTCCACAACCACTATATGTTGCGGAGTGGTTCCGGTATTGGTGCAAAGCCTAAAAAATAGCCAAAAATCAAAGGTTGGAATTGGACCTGGGGGCCTAAAACATTGTTGCGCCTTGGCGATTTACGGCGCCGTGAGCCAAGCTAAAGGGGTCGGACCAAGCTCATCTGATAGCCCTATTCCATGCGCATCTTTTGCAGTGCTTGGGACTGTGGGAGAATGAGTGGTGTGTTGTGTAGAGCCCAAAAACTGAAAATCGGGCTTTGTCACTACCCTCCCAGGCGCATTCCAGGGTCCTCTTACACCTCTGCACAAGGGACTTAGTTAAGTTAGCAAGACTTGTGAGTTCTACATCCAATCACCAATATTGGAGGCGTCAACAACAGTAGTAGGACTTTGATGATGGCAATTATTAATCTGCCTTACCTTTGAATGCAAAGGTGCTGTGGTAAATAGCTCCACCAATACCAATGTATAATAAACTTTGATGAAAAAGCAGCATTTCATCTTGCAGCAGTTTTTTTCTGAAAAAAACAGGCCTTGGTGCGCCCACAACCTGAAGCTGCAGGACACAGAGTTGGCATTAAGGGGAGTCAAAATGATGCCCCACAGCTGGCTGTTGCAGCAGTATGTAATGGTTCTGTGTCATATCCATTTGGTTCTGCTGTGACAAGCCCAGAAACCAAGGATGAACACACTTGAAAACCCTTGTTCCCTCCTGAATTTCACTTTTCAAGAGAAGCAACCCTTGATCTTTCCAACCAACCTCCACTTTGCAACAACAAACAACCAACAACCTACCTTGGCCTTCACTATATCAGATGATCCAATCACAGGGGCCAAAACTGATGCTCACATACAGGTGAGCATTGTACACTCTCTTGAATCCTCCATAATTCATTTGAAGCCACTGAACAATGCACAATTTGAGTTGAATCATTGTCAGTAAACTCCATCCAAGTTGAGAGAGATGCACCAGATTCAAAACTGATGTGTGCAATGAGGTGAAGGATCAAATTTGATTGTTCAATCAAGTTGATAAAATAAACATAAAGAAAGAGATTGCTCAGTTTTTGAAAAAAACTCACAGGTTTATTTTTGAAAACTCAAGTGTTTTCTCTTTTTCCAAAGTCATCAATTCTGCAAAGGGCTGTAATATGGTAATTACATATAATTAAACCTAGACCAAGCATCAATCAAAAGCCGGCACACAATCAGACAAGGCACAAGTGCCAACCACAAGTTGATGTTCAACCCATGTATATATAAAGCTCCTTCTTCTCTTGGACAACCATCTTTTTCACAGATCACAATACTAGAATCACATTCCACTTGAAATCCTATTGAGAGGCTCTTTGATTATATGATTGGTTGTGCAGCTTTGAGAACAAACTTGAGCATTCTTGGATCCATTACTGAGTAACCAAGGTACTGATTTATATAGGCCCATGTCTATCCTTGCACCTAGCAGTAAACCTTAAAGCAGCAATTTTTCCTCTGGTCCTCCAAAGTTTAAATTAGCCCAGGATCCCTGGTTCTCCAAAGAGCAAAGCCAGCAGTCTCATTTGGTTGAAGCATACCTAGCTCCTTTTCTCCTTTTTCATATCCTTCTCAATCCACTCATGAGAGGTCATGTGATTGTAGTCTTCACTTGGGTTTACTATGCAAAGACATACACAATTCCTTTTACCTTTTCTTCCATTGAAGATTATGTCTATTAGATGTGTACTCTTCACAAGGCTGATCTCACACCAAGGAAATCCTGTGTGGTCCATGCAAATCCCCCTTTTTTATACCCCTCCTGCACTGCCAACATAGATGCCTTGGGTCAAGAAATCTGAGGCATCATTGGAGGCAAATCCTCGGACAGACCTTGTCTGAGGTATTCTTTTGCGCTGAGAATTACCTCGGATCAAAACCTTGGGAAGCTTCTGTCCAAGGTTTGGCATCCAAGGATACCTTGGATTGAAAGATTGAGGTAAACATGTTGGCGCTGCTGAGAGACAAATTCTGCTACTATTGCCCTGGCCCAGACACCTCCAATGGCAATACCAGAGTTTTTTTTGCATGTCTTTGTTCATATTCTACTTTTTTGAGTGAAATATGATATGGTTATGTCAACCAATGCACGTGCAGCTGCCTCAAAATGAAGCTTTTGCTTGAAGCTGGGCACCACAGGGTGAAAGACCATGCCACCTGCCATGTATGAGCTATGCATGACAACCTATGAAAACGCGGTGACCAGCTGATGGGCTGCATAAGCTGTTCTATGAAGTTTACATCACCTTTCTGTAAATTTGGATAGTGGTCTTATCATCGTGAATAAGAAACCCCTGAAATTTGATCTTCTGAGTCAGGCTTGAAAAACTCTTGGCCCATTTTTATACTTTTTGTGACCTCATGTTGGACCTGGCTAAAAAGCATATTGTCATTTTCAAGTTGATTTCCATGGCCAGAATGTTGATCCTTGACTCTGAAACCAAAACTGACCTAAATCTTGAATAACCATATCAGAGGTATCCTTGGGTATAAATTGAACCAAAGCTGTTGATAGTATCTTGATTCTTGGAGCCTTTGTGAAAAAGGATTTATGCATGAGTACTAAGTGCTGCTGATATGGACATGAATGAACCAATCAAACCACAATACACACAAGCTCAACCTGGAGCATGCCCAAACCTGATCCTCCTGATATGATATGAGATCAAATATTATCTTGCATGTGGAGATAATGATTTCTCGAGCAATGCAAGGTACATATGAATCTGGTAGGTCCAATCTCTATCCCACTTGCTGCAGTGCAGATGATGATGAAATGCAGTGTTTTTATATTGGATGAAACTCATGATTAGGTGTTGAGTGAAATGTGCTGTATTGGTATTAAAATGTTCAAATTGATTTTATGGGTTTACCTTTACTGTTCCTTTGAACTGACCCCAATCACATCATCTTTAATTTGGTTCGACTGCTTAACATAATCTCAAGCTTCTAAAATGTTTAAATTCATTTGACCATCAATCCATCAATCCATCGAATCGAGCTCAGCAATCCATTCAGAGAGACCAAGTGAGCAATCTTGACTCTTTATTAAGCTACACTCAGCTTGACTCATCTTGTGGTCCATGGAACTTCAGAATGGTAAGTGTGATTCATTTGATTATCTGATCGCTACTTTATGTACTTCAAAGTTCAAACTGATCACCTTTGATTCTCTCATAGACCTTTACTTTTCCAATTCAATCTCCAATCTTGAAAACACTCCTGAAGCTCAGCCATCACTTCGAACTATTCGATCGCTTCCTCAACGTCGTAACAAACGTCCTCGTCTGAATCATATCGAATCTCCTCCGCCTCCTCCCGAAAGCTCTAGTCCTACCGAAGCTAGCCGTAGCGAAAGCCCAGTCACACCACCTACCAGACTCCTTCCATTCCATAGTCCACGCACCAAAGAAGCTATTGCTACTTTAACTGATTCAGTTGCAGCCTTCAACATTCGTCGTTCATCTCGCAAACCAATGACTTCTGAAATCGTCCGATTGGCAAGTCCACTCGATCTTCCTGATGGAAGTGATCACTACTCCTATGGTGCTCCCCGTTTGGAAATCGGCTCATGCTTAGAAGAGTATGAAAACCATCAAGTCGGACAGCTTGCCAACGGGGTCGATGAAGAGGACGAAGAGGATGCAGAGGATGCACCGGAGGAAGATCAACAAGTTGAGGACGAAGTAGACGAAGCGGATCAAGATTTCAGTGGTTATGCTTTCTTATCCGCTGGTCACCCCAAGCAGACTTCATCTACAAATCAGTCTAGTCTAGCAGATCAACCCAATGCTAACAGAAAGAAACGCAAAGTCCCGAGCACTGTTGTCATACCACTCGCTCATCCAGTCATACAATACGGTTTAGAGTATGAACTCAGGCCTGCCAATGTCTCTTCACCATATACATTACCTCATACAATGGCACATACTACTCCGGCCTTTGGTCAACTACTACGAGCCGCCCAATTGGAAGGTGAGGGTGGGGAGTATGATGATGCTGAGGAGGAGGAGGAAGACGTTTCTGCATCAACTACGCCAGTAGATTTCACGAACCCAGTCACACTTGCTAAAGGTGATTCATCCGTCTACATCCCCTTTCATTTGGTCTTCATTCATTCGTATGTCTTCATGATTTCCTGTGGGACTTTGCTTTACTTGATGGGGTTCGATGCGGATCAGCCTCAATGGCTGTTTCAAAATGATCTTCCGCCCGAACTTGTTGTCACTATATCATCACCCTCATTCTTGCGAATGAAACAAAGTTTGAAAACATCATGCACTACTATCCTGCTCATATTTATTGTGTCAAAGGAACAATATGAACCACTGATGTGCTCCTGTTCCTCTGATTACCTTCCGTAGCTCTCTCTTCCCATCATGTCAAAATGATGAAGAAGCCAATAAGCTCCCCTCGTCATTATGGTCGCCAGCTTCACAAACTTGCACTTTCACGATTGCTCATCCGCTCATCACCAGGCCCGAGTTCCTCATCCCATCTCGGATCTATCAGTACTCCAGATCAGAGTACGAAAACTCCCAAGAAGACTAAATCCCCAAGCTTAACAGCCCGAAACAATTCAGCCTCCAAACGTACCCCCAATCGCAAAACTCCATTACGCCCTAAACCGAAGGCACCACTCTCTAAGCTCAAGATGCCTGTGCTACCAAATCTTTATGACCCTTCCCTCCCCCTCGAAGTAGCCTACCCAACTACTGTAGACCCGGCTCGGTTGACTAAGTTAAGGTCTCATTCTAATCGCGAGCAAGTTGAAGAAAACCACTCTCCCAGATTTGAAGTCTTTCCTCGCCCTTCCTCCGTTGATCAAAGTCGGCGTCCAAGTTTGACTATGCCAAATCATGCAAATGAAAGTGAAGATGGATCGGACGGTCATAGTCTGCGTGGCGAATTTTCATTTCGTTTGGAAATTGCCGAGATCAATCATAGGCTGGTTGCCTTGCATATTGCAATCTCAGACGAGAGGAAAACCAGAGAAGCCCAAATCAAGGAGGCTATGAAGATAGCAATGGAGCAGCAACATGATCTTAGACAGCACATTCGTCGGTCTGATACAGCGAAGCTCTCACTTGGAGATGCTGAGGGTCGCTCTGATCAGCGTTCAATCACGGTAGGGAAAGACTCTATCAAGGGTGAAACGACGCCGATGAAAAGTTCTGGCCTTACCTCAAACAATCGACGTTCAAAGTCCCACATGTCACAGAGGCCACTTACTTCTAACGTTGACCACGGGCCTAGTGGTCCTCCTCCTTCCGAGCCACCTCCACCTCTGCCATCCGGTCCTCATACCAACTCATCATCGGCTAATCTGTCATTGAATAATCCTAACGGTCGAATTCCAGAGCCTTCGCCCAAGAAAAATGGAAAAAAGGGCAAGAAGAAGCGATCTGCTCATGCCAACGCCAACAACATTCACCATCGAGATAATTATGTCCCATCAAGGCTTCCAACAACTCATCAGCAGACCACAACCGTTGCAGGTCAAGGTGTGCTGGGTACCGAGTTAGCCACTATGGACCTTCTTGCAAAAGACTACGATCCTACCGGTACCAGATCGTCCCTGCATCCATTTATAGACCCTAACTTGAGTGTTTTACGTGAAGGTGACACGGAGACCAGTCCTAGCGCTAATAATGGTAGTCATAGTCAATTAGGATCATCAGCCATTGCTAAATTTTTCGTAGAACCCGATGAATGGATCTGTGGATTTTGTGAGTATGAACTTTGGTTTGGAGAAGAACTTTCATTAATCAAAGTGATCAAGAATCGAAAGATGATCCTTCGACGACGGAAAAGAGCAAAAGAAAGAGCCGCAAGAGCAGCTGCTGGAATCAAAAACCCATCTAATCCTGGTACTGGTCCTACCAATTCATCTGGAAACAATGGTCTTGCTTCTTCTTCGTCTTCTGGTACTAATAATAATAAAAATATTGTCAACCCAGTTCATTCTAATAATCCATCAATCCCGCCTCCACCACCGCCACCACCTACCTCTTCTCCTGCTAGTCCTTAGAAATTTAGTGTAATTTTTTTTGCATTTGAAGTGATGGACTTAACAATCATTACTTCTGTTGTTTAGTAAAAAATATATACGTCTTGCAAACTCGTTTGAATGTTTTCTAGTACACCTATCGTACTGACCCTGACCCTGAACCAAAGTTTTGTTTTGTTTTCCAATTCTTTAAATGACTATCTTTCATTATTTACATATATACACTAGAAATCTTTATCAATCATCATGTTCTTTTTTTTTACAATTTTCTTTTATTTGATTGTTTTCTTCTTTTTTCTTTGTCTACAAATAGATCTCTACAAACTACAATGGGACAATACATTTTATTTTTCAAAATCAAGACCAAAGAAAAATAAACACATTCTATTTTTCTTGTTTGCTTTTTGTTTTGTTTTTGTTTTTCTATTTTATTCCTAAAAGAAAAAGTTCTTTTTAGATTTCTTTTATTCATATATAAAAAACATATCTTACTACAAGAAACTCTTTTAGTCTATAAGATCATTTTTTTTTCTTTTGCACTTCTCTCTTTTACATTTCAAAATTTATTTTAACTCTTAAACTGTTTTTGTTTTTGTTTGAATTCTTTTTCTTTTTCTTTTTGCTGTAGCCTAGCTTATCCAGCATTCTGTATGCTGTAATTTGCAAGTTTTCTTTGTTTTTTCCATTGACTTGGTTCATGATTTGGTTTTCTGTGAAGGGTTAAGAGTACAGAAGTATACATGTTTAGTGGGTTTGATGGTTTGGACATTTTTATGCTTCAAGTGTTGTCAAATGTATGATGGGGTCAAGGGAATTTGAGAGTCATCATTGTTAGATTGATCATAGCTTGTCACCCAGTATTGAGAATGAACATTTTGATTCTTTTGTGACTGAAGATGGTCAAGAAGATTATGTGATTGCCATCATGGCATTGTAGTGTTGGAACCCAATACATTGCTCAATATTCAATGTCATTGTTCTTATTGTTTCTCTGTTTAATCATCATTCTTTATTTGCTTACTACATAAACCATGCACTTTGCTTGAAATACTTGCTGTCAACCTTTTGTCTAGTCTAAACTAACCACAACATCTATCCTTGATTCTAGTTTATCAAATCTTGATTTGAGGAAGTTTCTTTTCTTTTTCACAATTTATCAACCTTCCTCATTAACCAAACAATCATCCCAATAGACTATATATTTTCTCCTGCTAGGATATTTGACAGATATGTGTGTTGTATTTGATCTGATCAGGGATCTGAGATCCTTTTAGGTCATGAGCCACGGCTCTACACTTTTCTGAATCATCAACAAAAATTCCACTAGAGTTTTAAACTCAGTCTCTTGGCTAGAGAACCTGTTCCTTTGAACTCAAAATGCTACTCTCAGAACTCTAGTACTCTAGGTTCTCACCAGTGTGTTGTATTGATCCAACTCAAACTTTCAACTTCAAGATCCATAAAATCAATCATAACAACTCAATCCCAAACTTCACAGTTTTCCCCACCAACCTTCAATCCAACATGCCAGATACTTTAATTGAATTGGTTCTCAGTCAATCTGAAGCACCATCCCACCCCACAAACTCTGATACACTTACAGGTTCTACCAATAACCCAAACCCCAGTCTCAGATCAGCTTTAACTAATCTTTGTTGGAATTCCAAGACATCATCTCAAAATGCATCCCAACTCTTCGGTTCCAGACTCTTTGTTCCTCATGGCCCAAATTCTCAAACTCACCAACATTAACAAGATAGATTGTGGACTAGGTCTCAAGAAAAGCTGTGGAAGCCTGTCAAGCAAGACACCTCCCTCTCTGAATTGTATCTCAAGGATCTAGGGAAAGTGGAAAACCTTGAGTCCAAAGGAGCAGATCACTCAAAATCATCTGTGTTACTGTTCCTGCCAACCAATTACCTCTCATCCAAGGAATTGAAGACCCAAAGAAATCCTACAACACTCCAGTCAATCAGGTCTCTCAAGACATTGGTTTGAAAGTTGCAGCTCTCTTTGCCAAGGTTGCCACAATTTGCTACTTGGGCAGCAAGTCTGTCACTTCTTTTTTGGACAGAATAAATGCCCTCCACACCCAGCTTGCTGAAACTACATCTGCCAAGTCAGCTTTGAAGATCAGCAAAAGCTTCTTGCTGGTTTTCTTCTCCTAAGTTTCCCAGGATAACAATTTGGCACTATTTGTGTTCAAAGTTTTGGTGATTTGAAGACTTTGACAACAACAAAATTAACTTCTTGCCTCCAAACCAAGTTGGCACTCACTACTGTCAACAACACCGTTAAGAATGTTTGAGTTTCTTGGAATCAAGTATAATTTATATAGAAGAGGAGAACTAAGAGTGGGCACAATAGCACAATGACAACATCCTCCTACACAAGATCTAAGAGAATGATTCTGCCCTCAAACAACCATCATAAATAATTAGAAAGATCAAAGATAACAAAGAAGAAACTATAAGATGAGTACCTGGTATTGTCACACATATTGATTGGTATAAGCTATCACTGCCAGCATTAAAGAGGTTCCTTGATGGGAATTAGCACTAGGCTGGGAACATTTTTGAGAGTAGAATGGGTCATGAAACCATCTCGCAGTGGCCATCTGAGCAATACAGCATATGTTACATATGTGCAAACATCTGAGTGAATACTTAGCTATCATCTACATATAGCGCCGCTCAGTTACCTGCTCATCTGGTTGAGAAATTCACATGTAATATTTTCTGGAACTTTGTTACAATTGCAACAAACAGCCCAAAAAATTGACTACATATATCACAATGGCTACTGAGGAATACTTATGAAGATATTTAGCAGTAACAAATGGGGAATTTGGTTCCTGAGACCCATATTACCACCCGGTAATCTCTTTAATGCTGGCAGTGTATCTATAATTGGATACCTGATCTCTGGGACTACAAGGGATAGTCTATCACAATTCAAACATAACCACAGTCAAAAAAACAACATTGATACGAGTAATAAATCACATCTCATCTAAACTTAACAAAGTACCACACTATAATTATGGTATAGGGCTTGGTTAGAAAACAAGAAGAAACAAAACAACTTGATATCCGGGTTGTGAGATGTGGGTAGCGGGAGCAGGAGCAGGAGGTCTTGAAGGGTTTTTGATAATTTTCAAGACCGCCTGCTTTCCGTTTGATTTCTTATAGACACTTGACACTTGTACAAATTATTACCTTGGGACTGAACCACCGTTCAGTCAAACATTTTTGGTAACCCTGGGTGACCACCGGATTCTAATAGGGGGCACTCTCAGGTTTTATTTGCGGGCACTTTTTTGTAGCCCCCAAAAACATAAGTAAACAAGATATGTGTGACTACCTTTTAGTGGAATAATTTCACGTGAGTCATGTAAATGATTTGATTGTACTAATATTGATGGCATTGATCAAAGTGATTGAATTGAATGACTTGAGCAATGCTTGATCAAAATGAGAATGACTTGATCAAATTGATTGAGTTGAATCATAGAGATTTGATTTGAGAGTTTGATATCAATGCCAGAGCATCATTGGAATGTCCAGGTTGTGTTTGTGTTGTGTTCAAGGACACAATACCATTGTACATTTTTACCCCAATGACCTTGTTCATCATTGAAAATGGAGTGCTGGTTTCAGTGATGGGTGATAAAGAAGAAGTTAGGTCTTTGAGTTTAGGATAAGGTACTGTGAGGATTTTTCGTAAGCATAAAAATTTTTGTTGAGTAAGTGATTTAATATCATGTGATAAGTTTCTTCAGTCTTGAAGTAAAATTTAAATTTGTGAATGATGTCATAAAATTCATCTTCGTCTTGCATCTTGATGAGTTGAGGTTTCGCTGTTTTGAAGCATCGCACTATAATTCTGTTATTGTGGAGAGGAAAATTGCTTGCCAGCTGTTTCGTGCAAAAGGGAATTGAGTGAAATAATTATCAAACTCACATTGCGGGGGTGTTAGCGCATGAAATTCATGCACACCCCCTTGTCACGTGTCCTAGCTTTCCCCAAGGGCCTCCATTACCGCTCAATGAGGATGTTTTCGGACCTGACAAAGCCGCCAATGCGACTGCAAGTGAATGTTCCTCTACGTCCTCTTCGTACGAGTCCAACCGTCTCGAATGTCTACAGTTATTTTGGAAAGAAACAAGCTTGCCAACCATTTCTGAATTAGAAGAAGAGGGGGAACTATCGCACTCACATTGCGGGGGTGCTAATGCGTCAATTTTGATGCACACCCCCTCGTCACTTTTCGTAGCGTGCCCCTTGGGCTCCTGTCGAGGACCTGCGGGGATTTTTTCCGGACGTGACGAGACCAAATCTATGGCCGCAATGCTGGTAGGTAAGGCTTCACGGAGTCCATCGCGGTATAGCTTGAGTTTGGAGATGTGAAACACTGGGTGAGTCGAATCATTTGGTCGAAGGTGTAACCTGAAATCCCGACCAGAGTTCAATACCTCAAGGACCTCGTATGGACCATCATAACGAGCCCGGAGTTTGCCAGTAACGCGACCCTTGCCGCCTACGATTTGTTGGCGATCAGTACTGTCAACTAATACCCAGTCTCCGACTTCGAAAGGTGTGCCTTCTCGGCGTCTTCGATTATACTGAGACGCTTGCTCAACCCTATTGTACCACAACCTGTCCCTCCAGATCGCCCATTCATTTTCACGGCGTTCGATCCAGTGTCGTACGTCTTCGTTATCCTCAGCTAATGGATGTTGAACCGGAAATAAACGCGGTATGCGACCGTAGACGTAGTGGAACGGCGAGACGCCGGTCGAGACGTTCATGGCCGAATTGATGGCAAACTCTGCCGACGGGAGCGACTGATACCACTTACCGTGCTTGTCTGCTACAAGGTGGCGCAGGATTTGACCTATAGTCTTATTCGAGCGCTCGCTGCGACCGTCCGCTTGCGGGTGATACGACGTGGAGAGTTGCATCCTTACCCCCAAGAGCTCGTGTAGGCGCTTCCAGAACTTGGATGTCCATGCCTTGTCACGGTCTCCGATGATCGATTCGGGTAGGCCGAAGATGCATGACCACGCGGCAAAGAGTCTGGTAGCGGTACGTTCGGCAGTGTCCTTCTGGCTTGCAGGGATGAGACGCACGAACCCAGTCAGCCGGCATGTACAGGAGAGGATCATATCATACCCAGCAACTTTTGGAAACGGGCCGATAAAGTCGATGCCAATAGATTGCATTGGCTGATTGGGCACTGCTGAGCATTGAAGCTTCCCCGTTGTTGATGTGGTGCGTGCTTTATTTCGTTGGCATGAGTCGCAAGACTGAAGATGTCCTTCTACGTCTTTTGCCATTCCAGGCCAAAAGAAGGTGGTCCGCAGGGTCGTTAGTGTCTTTAGTACCCCCAGGTGTCCCAAAGCTGAGTGAGCTTGGTCCATGAAGTCTCGTCGTAAGTTACCGAACCGGGGAATAACCAGGCGCCCGTCAAGGTACATGAGCCCATCCTTTAGGATGCAGTCCTCACGTAACGGAAGAACCTTGCGCAGTTTGATGCAAAAGACGTCGTGCTGGTAACCCTCTTGAATTTCTTTAAGTTCTGAATCCTGCAAAGACCCGCGTACCTCACAAACAGAGATATCCTCTCGGCGTGATAACGCGTCTGCCACCGAGTTGTCTTGGCCTCGCAGATACTTGAAGTCCAAGTCAAATTGGGACAGAGTCTCCAACCATCTCGCTTGACGTCGGCTGAGATTGCGCTGGGTAAGAAGTGTCGTGAGAGAGTGATGATCCGACATCACATTCACCCGCATGCCCAGAAGTAGGAGTCGCCATTTGTTCAGTGCGTTTATAACTGCCAAGAGCTCTTGTTCATGGACCGGGTAGTTCTTCTCTTCCGGGTTCATTGTACGGCTCTCATAAGCTATGGGCGAAGCTGTCTCCCATCTCAAACCTTGAAATAAGGCTGCGCCTAAGCCGTCACCGCTCGCGTCAGTGAACAACCACAGAGGTTCCTTCGAGTCATAATCCAAGTTCCGGAGGACAGGTAATGTCGTGATCAGCCTTTTGATGTTGCTGAAGGCTTGTTCTTCTTTCTCACCCCATTGGAAAGGTTTGCCTTTCAAGGATGTGCTGGTCAGTGGGGTCAAAGTTCCTACGTAGTGTGAGAGTCCGTCAATAAATTTTTTCATCCATTGGACGGTACCTAAGAACTTTAGCAGTTGTTTGGAGCTTGAGGGCAAAGACCATTTTGAAATCTTCTCTACCTTCTCGTCATCCGGACAAATTCCTGCCTCGCTGATGTTGTGACCCAGGAATTTGATTTCTCGTCGAAATAACTTGCTCTTCTTGACTGAGCAGAATAACTTAGCTGACCGCAACCGTTCCAGGACCTGTCTCAAATGAATTTCATGCTCTTCTACCGTCTGAGAAAAAATGACTATGTCATCTATATAGACAACACAAATCTTCCCCACTAATTCACCCAGGATTTCCTCATTCCGTGCTTGATGTGTTGCCGGACCATTTGTAAGTCCCATGGGCATGACAGTCCATTCATATAATCCCCAGGGAGTTTTCACCGCCGTCAGCGGGATGTCCTCTTCCCTCATCCTGTCTTGAAAGAAAGAGTTCACTGCGTCCGCCACCTCCCTTCTCGACGTCAAGAAGGGTAGAATGTCTTGATTTGGTTCAACTTTGTTCCAACTTTATTGCGGGTTAGTTCCGCTACTGAGTATCCCACTCAGCATAGACTGAGAGATGCATGAGTGATTGATCAGAAGTCATTGAGCCTCAGGGAATTCCTCAGACATTAGATTCTCAGCCTCAGGATATTCCTTTGTTTTCTATTATGATCCAACCCTTTTGACCAACACATGAACTCAAGTTCAAGTTGATCAACTCGATTCATCACCGTCACCTAAAAAATCCTTCATGAAATCAAATCGATCAAAAGAATACCTAAACCAAAACAATTAATTAATCAAATTCCAACCTTTCTTTGCAAATCTCAAAATACTTTCTTATTAAAACTTTTTTTATAAATAACAACGCGCCAAGAAAGTTTTAGTGAACCAAATTTAACAATGGGCATCATTATCTTTTCTTAGACACGCGTTCTGGATTGCACTTTAAAGTAAAAGGGAACAAAGACCCCGGTCTTCAACATTTTAAGTCTTCCTTGCCCCTCCGAGCCCGCTTACACTCCACCAATCACACAAATTTGTGCGACCGACGGCGGGATGTCACATAGGGACTCTGGCGCATCGTCTCTTCCGGCAGATACCAATCCAGGATTTTATGAGATGTCAACAAATGAAAAAGTGCATGAACAAATGAACTTAGACCAACCACGGGTTGGTTTACCTCAGCTACCAGTGTACAAACATAGTATCTTTCATAGAGTTATTAAAGATTTTATGGTCCAAAGTATGGATGATTCTTTAACTTCAATAGTATCAAACTGTCATCAAGTTCTGATCTTGTCTTCATCTTGGGGGCGGGGAAATAGGTGGCGATTTTTTGAATTCGGATGGGACAGGTTCTACTTCGATTTATGGTCAAAAATTTGAAGATGAAAATTTCGAATTGAAACATGAAACTGCTGGACTCCTTTCAATGGTTAGCAAAAAAGACAAACCAATGAAATTCACATCGAGTTATGAAAAAAACTGATCTTGATCTTTACTTATTGATTTCCATTAGGCAAACTCTGGACCTAATACCAATGGTTGTCAAGTAAGCAAACACGCGTTTCAAACTTCAATTCGCTCTGATCAAATTTAAGCCGTTATTGACTCAAAATTCTCTCATGTAGTTTTTCATTACTTCTGCAGCTTGTGATTTTTTAGATCATAACCATGTTGTTTTTGGGAAAGTATTGGATTCAGATGGACTTTTAGTAATGAGAAAGATCAAAAATGTACCTACTGGTCCGAATAATCGACCTAAATTGACAGTCAAAGTTACTGGTTTGTTTATCTTTTTACTCTTTTGCTTTTTAATTCACAGAATTGAATCTTATGACATTTTTTGATTTACTTATTTGCAGAGTGCGGTGGAATGTGACTGGTTAATAAAGAATTCATTACACTTTCACACTTAGATGACCCACAAGGATTCAACAAGAATTGCCTCACTTGGCCAGTTGGGTTATACATTAAATCACTCATATAAGATTGTATTACAGCAACAGTGATGAGTCCATAAATTCAAATCTTGTATTATTTTGTTAGCATTATCAAATTGTTGCAAGCTCCTCTTTGCACACCATATCATAGCTAGTCAAGATACCCTAAGTCTTTCGTGCAACACTATATCATAGTACATACAACCAATTGTAAGCTGCAATTTCAGCTTTTGAAAAGAGATAGAAATGATTAACTCACCATAGAGTTATCTAGATTAGAAAAGCAATCAAGTAGTTGTTTGCATTTCATGATTCACGGTTATTTGCGGCTCTGATTCAGGAGCTAGTACAGGAAGTGTGTCCAGTTGCGATGGAGTGATCGTGGGTTGATCTCCGGGATCTCTGTAGAAGGTGGCTTCAAAGAATCTGATGCGCTGGCGACTTGATTGTTAGCATTTGGTGATTTTCGTCGTGGCGTGTCTGAAAGAATCACCTCTGGTTTCGGAGGATGACTTAAGCTTGAAAGAATCGACTCTGATAGTTCGAGTAAAGATGTAAACTCATCAGAAGGTTTTTTGATTTTCAAGTCACCATATATTTCTACTCTTAATGAATGTTCTAGCATTGGTAAAACATGTTTTGTCCATAAATCAATCGATCTACAATTTCTCGAAGTTGATCAGATGAAGCTGATCCTCGATGATCTTCTTTCATTATACTTTTAAGGTGTTCAGAGTTACTTGTAAATGTTGAATGAAGAGGACTAGGTGGTGGAAGACTTAAGGTAAGCTTTCTTAATTCTTCATTGATGGTTGTAAGGATTTGAAGTTGATAAGATGAGAGTTTGGAATACGATTCTATGATTGGTAAGAGTCTTAATTCGTTAAGAGCAATGAGTTGACTGTTCAGAAATCTTGCCAAGGGTGGAACGAATGTGAGAAGATGTGATGGTAGTCAGCTCGGTGAAGTTGATGGTGGGTTTGTAGTCAAATCTATTGTTAATACTTGTCGTAGGGTATCTGGAGCAATTAAACAATGTTCAAGAGGTTGTGTAGAGGGTGGGTGTAACGATTTTCGACGAGGTTGAAATGCGGCTTGTTTGAAGGAAGACGAAGTTGGGGTTTGAATTAGGATTGGCTTTAAATCCGATTGAAATTGTTCAAGACCTGATTCCATTCTTAGTTTAATGATGTCTTCTAATGTGTTAATAAAAGTAGGGTCTTATCGCACTAGTGAAATCCATACCCCGTTTTGCAAATGCAGCTGCACAGTATGAAGTGAGTTTTATAAAAGAGGATAGAGTAGAGATTGTCACGAGTAGTTTAACATGATGAGTCAGAGTAGAAATTAAGAGATGTGTGGCTTGAGTAGCAAAAAAGTTTAATGGTGAAACTGAATCTTTGAAAAAAGCAGGCGAAGATCCTCCAGTAGAATTCGAGAGATGTTGATCAGGATTGATTTTGAGAGTTGAGGTGTCCGAGTTTGTCGATTTCAAAAAGATTTTATAATATATCGAAATCGTATCACCCACCAACTCACGCCAAATCTCGAGCCATTTACGTAAAAACTTTAAACGATCTTCATTGTGTATTGAAGTGAAGCATCTGAGAATTGATCAAGATGAAGTGGATTAGAAGTAGAAGATAATGCTGAAGGTGAGAAACCAGTTGAGAGTTGAACTTGTTGAAGTGCATTGGCTAAACAAGACCATCGACTTGCCAAAAAAGTGATCCGTAATTCAGGTTTGGTAAGTGATTCGATTGAAGGAGAATCAATTGATTGGGAGAATAGATTTGACATCCTACGCAGAACGCCAATGGTTCGAACAGCTGAAGGAAACTTTAAGCCTCGATCCTTAAGACTATTGATCAAATTATCTCGTAAAGCTTGTAAAGCACGATCGACTTCTAATCTGATTTGATGTAAAACACCACCAGCTGATGGATGACAATCTTGAAGGGACATGGGTTCAAAGCTTTTGTAGTGTACTTGTAGAGAAACTCTCCGATCATAGTCTGTGTAATGGCGTGAATGGCATTGGGATCGGATGAAACTGAAGTGGATTGATTGAAGGAATTAGCAATTGGATCTGCAATATTACCAGCCTCACTCGTTCGGTCTGTTCAATCTGAGGTTACAGAATGACCACGAGATCTCTGACTCAGACGATCAGATGAGCCTTGACCTAGAGCGGTATGGTTGGGTGTGTTGGCTCGAGATCTGTGCTTTTTGCTGGCGTATTTCTTAGGTACATGTAAGTTTGCCACCCCGAATTGGCCCATTTCATCAACTTCAGATACATCTGATTCGTTGAATGAATTGTTAGATTGCGCGAGGTTGATCCCATTCTTGATCTGACTATTTGAAGCATTAGGTATAGTTCCACCACGTACTAGAGTTGATTGTTTGAACTGAGTAAAGGCCAGGTACGTCGTAAGTAACTTCATCTCGTTCGCAATGCATCCTTCGGAGGAATATTGAATGAATGGGGTCCAAGGGGGGGGACGTTTAGTTGAAGAGAATCAGGCGGCACGCTGATGCGCAGGCCTGAGCTGTCCAGGTTTCCAAATAGCTTAGGCTGCTTAGGGTTGCTTAGGGTTGCTGAGGTTTTGAATGAGTGGAAGAAACAATTTTTTTGAAAAGACCTTTCTCGCACCAAAGTCCAACCATTCTACCCTTCTCGACGTCGAGAAGGGAGGTGGTGGACGCAGTGGTTGGTTTGGTCCACAACAGACCAAATCTTGCCAGTTGCTACCAAGCGTACTGATTCATCTACATTGGGCAAAGGTGCTCTGTCTTTGACCGTGTACTTGTTCAGAGTACGGTAATCACACACCCACCGTGGTAATTCAGTGGGATCTTTCTTGGGGATTATTAAAGACGGGGATGCATACTGGCTTTGAGACCGTCGAATCCTACCAGCCTTCAGATGCTGGTCAATCAGCCTTCTCCAAGATTCACGGTGCTTTTGAGGATACCCAAATTGTTTCTTGTTAATGATCACATTCGGGTCCGTCAAGATGATTTTATGTCGTACTTGTCGTTTCACATCCGGCAGACCGTCCGGGAATGTTTCATCCGGCGGCTCGCCTTCCTCCACCGGAGGAAGTTCTGCCGGGAATAGATCTTCAAAGTCTTTAAAGACTGCTGCTTCTCGGTCATTCAACTCTTGTGCCTTCGAAATCTTGTCAAGATTTTCAATGGCACACAACAAGCGATTCAATTCTGATTTCATTCCTTTTTCATAAAAAACTTTCCCACTGGGTTCATGTAAAACACAACGCCTGTGAAGCGATACATCTAATTTAAATTTTGAAAGAAAAGGCGACCCAAGGATCATGTCGTAAGTTGAGCTGAGAGGTGCCAGTTTGAAGAATACTGCTCCAAAACGCATACTGGGTTGATCGCATTTTAGGTTAGCCATAGCGAACTCCTTCAGGACCAAAGGAGTTCCTTCTGTTGAGATAGCTAGGCGTACCTCTACTGGGGACACCAAAGGCCTTCGGGTGATTTTTAATTCATTCGCCATGTTGTCTGACAGGAGGTTCGTTCCCGCTCCTGAATCGATGAGGGCCCGAACAGTTTTACCATTACACATCAGCTCTAGGATGATGGGCAAGACAGATGTTGAAGGTACACACCTCAGTTGCCCCTCCCCCAATTCTTCAGTCTGGGTGCTTTGAAATCGAATTGCCTCCTCGTACGCGGCAATGTCTTCTGCTAGCATGTCTGGGAAGGTCTCAATTGCCGCAACTCGAGAGGTCGTCGTTACAGCCGGAGGTCGACCTGCTGGTCGATGAGTTGGAGCTCCCGGTGTTGCAGTAGCGAGTGTTGAAACAGCCGCGCGGCGAGGTCTGGGACCTGGGTTGAAATCCGGTGGGATTGACAAGAATCGCGGATTCTTCTTCGTACAGTTGAGATTATTGCACTTCTCTTTGCAGGTCGCGCAAATGCCTGACTGACGAAGGTACTCATGGTACCTCCAGGCGTTGTCTGCTCGGTCTTCGTCCGAACGCTGACGGGGAGCTGGAGTAGATTTGAACGACGTCGTTGCTGGAGGTCCGTTATTGGTAGTAACAGAAGGCGTCTTCGATCTGACAGAAGGGTCTGGGACCAGTCGGCTATGGATGAGGAATCGCCAGATACCGTCCGCTGCATCTTTGAACTTCGGAAAGGAGAAAGGTTTGGTCTCTAACCGTCCTTCACGGTGAATCATGTCTCGGAAAAGTTGAGGAGCCCCCCACGTGATGTACTGAGCCAGTTGATGGTCGCTGAATTGGCCAAAGGGTTTGACTAGACGGTGTAATGATTGTGCTCGTGCTACATACTGGTCAAAAGTTTCGCCTGACTTGATTTCTAGACGTCGTAGGGAATCCTCGGTGTCCGTTCGCCAAGCGTGAGGCAACGTACCCATGGCCATCATGTCCATAGCGCCTTCCCAGGATTGTAGCTTCAATTCGTCCCGATTACTTTGATACCACGAGGACATTTCTTCATTGTTCAGTAGAGCACCCAATAATTTGAGTCTCTCCCGGTCCTCTACGACGTTCTTGATATCGAACGTCTCCTCAATCAAGGTTCGCCAGTGAAAAAGATCCCCGGGCTTTCCAAACTTTCCTGTAAACTTTGGTAAGCCGCTTAGGTAAGCCGCTTAGTTTGACTTGATCAGCGGTGGTTGAGGTAGGTCTAGTCGCAGCTGGTGGTTGCGACGGTAAGATCGGGTCAGATCGATAAGGCCTGTCCGTCGTGGAAGCCTGATTACCGGGGTGATGGGCTGGTGAGTAGATAGTAGACAGCGGTGACGGGTGAGCTGGGCTGCTAACAAGAACTGCAGGTGTTGACTGTAGCGGGGTAGGACGAGATGTGGATTCGCGCGTTGGGTTTTCATCCGCCCAGCCCACTCTCTGATGGGTGGTTGGGTGTTCCGTCGATTGGCCTTCGTGCTCGTCTCGAGTGGCCGGCTGCTGTGATTGTGCAGTTGCTGATGCGACTTGTTGTCCTCTAGGTAACGGAGTAGGTGAAGTCGGGGTAGTATTGATGTAACGGCTGAAGGCCTGAGAGTTACCGGTCTGGTTGGCATCTCGTTGAGTCGCCGTCGCTGGTTCTTGTTGCAGCAATTGAGATCTTTCTGACAGAAGTTCTCTCACCAACTTTTGTAGATCAGCGGTTTCTTGACGTGACTGGTTAAGCTGATCCGTTTGGTGTTCTAGCCTCGCCACTTGAGCTCGTAATACTCGCACCGTCTCGGTTTCCTCTTCACCAGTCATTGTGGTGGTTGGCTCGCACGTCTCAGGTAAGTTTGGCAAGGTGCTACCGGATGGGTTCGGTCGTGGGGTGTCTTGAGGCAGGTAGCCTGGCGGGTGTGGTGTATTCTGAGGGCCCAGTAGTTTTCGAAAGTGCAAGTCGAGGACTGTCTTTTCAGGCGCTGGTGGTGAGATCTCAATCGGGGAAAACAGTAGCTTGGTTGGTTCTGATCCAGTGGTTTCGTGGTCGATACTTTGTCGGTAGGACGAGGCGTACACTACTCGATCCGAGAGAGCGGCTGGTGATACCGATGCACTCGCTTCAGGTCTCCACGTGTAGTTTGGAGCACGAGGGGGTGTTGGGCTTCCGATACCTGCTGGTATTGTCGCTTTCGCTTTTTCCTTCCTTGCTTGACGGAGTAAAGTGTCCGGATCGTCGAGGTAATTGTCAGGTTTCAGAGACAAGGGACCTGACATTCGATTCGTGGTGGCGTACAGGCAGTACTGTGATGATACCGTTAACAACGGAGCGGGGTAATTGGCAGATTGACTGTTGGCAGGACTTGGCAGAAAAGGATCCCTCGACGGGATTGCTGATGACAGGTGACAGACTAGAACCGATAGGCAGATTATCCCGAAGGATAGGGCAGATTGTAGATTGAGTGGTAAAATGAAAAAAATTGTTGTGTAGTTTTGAAGTGATCAACTTAAAAAAAGTGTAAGGTTCGTGTGGGAACCTTCACTGAGGGTCCGGAATAGAGTTCCGGCACGACTTCTCGAGAGAGCAGTAAGTTGGAACTTCGGTTTATTATTAAATCTAGCTCCGAAAAGTCCAAGATAGGCTCTCTGAGGAGTCAGTAACACTCTAAAAGAGAAAGAGAAAATAAGAGAAATAAGAGAAACAACAAAAGTAATCAAAACTCACCTAGCTCCGAAAAGTCCAAGATAGGCTCTCTGAGGAGTGAGGAACTTTCCGAAGCCAGGAGTTGGAGAGTAAAGGTGAAGTGAGGTCTGCCTAATCCCATGATCCAATCCCATGCCTGCCCGTCTCTATGTGTACTCCTTACAAACCCTCCAAGCTCCACCTCCTGATAGTGCCAGCAAGGAATGAGACAAATGGATTCAAAGAGCGAAACAGTCACCTTGGCAACACATGGTCCTCATACGACAACGACGAGGAAGACATCTTTCATGATCGAATTTTCTTTCCACTTGGATATTTGTCATGCGGGTGGGAATTACCACCAGCTGAACCACAATCCGAACCCCTAACGGCCGAAGATATTGAAAAGTACCTACCGATATATAGACGCCTAGTCAATACTGACAAAGTAGCAAAAGATCTGGGCCAACAAAAATTTGGGCCTCACCTACCCACAGCTCGCCAAAATAAGGGAATCACCAAGGTCCGAAGGATTGATCACGAGGTACGACTTGTACTTGTACTATTCACATACAAACTTCAGCTGACAGTATGTCCTCCCACCAGCTCCAGATTCTGAAAATACGCTATGGCATGGATTACTCCCTTATGGCTTCCTCGTGGTCACCGGACACCAAAAACCGCAAGGCGCAGTGGAGTCACGAGAGTTCATCATGCAATGACTGGATTGTACTCAGTAATGGCACCTGGCACCTCCTTGAAAAATTTGTGCGCCAGGTCACACAGTCTGACTCAGACATCCGTCCCAAAAACGCCAAGAAGGTCCAGCCTAGCAATGAGATAAAAGGACAGCTCATTGCTGCATTGAACTCGCAAGTTGGTACGTTTATTTTCACTCAACTTAACTACATCATCACAAAGGAGTATTACTAACAAGGTATCATCACAGAAAAATACCTTCAACCACCCTTATCCCACCTGGACTGCCACCCCAAGACCGCAAACCCCCACGTTGCACTTGAGAATAGGGTATTCGAAGGTGGCATCAAGCTTCGCGTCGTACAAGCACCACAGAGTCAAATGACTGATCTTATCCTATCAACCGAGTTGCAGAAGATGACGCTTTCAACTCATAAGCTATGGTTGGCCGATATTC